TTATCTATATTTTCATTTTCATTAAAAGGAATTTCATTTTGATTATGGTTACTAAATTCATAATCATTGCAAAAATCAAAAGTATTTTCATTTAAACTAAATTCATTTTGATTTTGATTATTATTACTAAATTCATTTTGATTTTGATTATAATGACCGTATTCATTGTAATCATTGTTCTGATTATAATGACCATATTCATTTTGATTCTGATTATAATCACCAAATTCATTACCATAATTAAATTCAATTTCATCATTGTAACAGTATGAGTTGTTGTTGGATACAGATTCTTCTTGATTCTCTCCATTAAAATCATCTTCTTTTTCGACAGTTGGTATTGGTGGTCCAAACTATGTAGAAAGAAGTGAGTCTTTTGTTTTCTAGAATCAACTAATTAGGTGAGTTCTCGCAACGATGAAACGCTTTGGGATTCAGATTCTTTCTACATTATAGATCGTTATTGATCAGTGAAATATTTTTAATAAATCAATTTTTTATTGATTTCAGATATGTTTCTACAAAAAATTTGAGTTTTCTCCTTGAAATAGCTATCGTTCAACAATACCCTATCTCACAAAGGTTACATCTGTTTTATTCGAGAACTGCAATATATTCTTGCGTGTGCTAGGTATTTTGATTAACAAAAGTTAAGATCAAAATTCGTTAATTAACTATATGTACTGTCAGGATACTATAAGCTGTGAATTTAATAAGGTGGTTATAAATTTATCTCAGAGTAATATAGGAATGAAACAGCTAAGGACATTTTACCAGTCAGTATGAATATACAACATCAAAATAATCTGAATACCAAAACATTTTATCGTTCGAAGAGATATTTTGTTAAAAGTTTTTGATACTTCTTATATAAACGGATAATATTTCTCAAATAAAACTTGAATATTTTCAAAAAGCTTAGGCATACAATCTAGAATACCTTAGTAATTAAAAAGTTACTTCAAGTCTTCAGAACTTCAGTATCTGTGGTAGTCTTTTTCATAAAGAAGATGTAAATGCTGCTACTAAAATAAAACAACTTTGAAAATCTAGTTTTAATCGCATTTTTAATCAAAATAATTATTAACATCATTTAGAATTTCACAATTCACTATAACTGATTATTATATATGTATGTTTTTTTACATGATCAAGTTTATTTTTTAAGAAAATCTCAAAATATGATTAGCGTAAACATTAAAGCACGAACAAACTACGTTCTGAGTTGAGTCAGCTTTTCAAGATGTTTATTCATCTCAGGTATCACATTGCTTAAACATGAGATATTAGAGTAGTATCATTTTCATAAGTTTAATTTAAATTCGAAAAACAGTCAATAAAAATGAGAAGCAGATAAACAACAAACGTGATATCTTAAATATCTGAATCAAATTTCATATATATTCTTTAATTCAAAATCGTTTTTGTGAAATCTTTCGAACTTTTGTCATTTGTAGAAGACTCTTTTTGATTTTGGATATTTAAGGAGAAATGTATAATGATGCACAAAACATACTTATTCTCTTTGATATGATAAAATACTTAAGTATGCATATTATAGAGAAAACATATTACTATTTATTTAAGAATTCATATTTTTTTACTTATTTTTAGTTTAGTCGTATATAAAACAAAGAAATGTTCGGTTAAGTACAAATTGCCTAATTTAATTCTAACTTCTATATTACTTAGTTAAAAGTTAATATTTATACTGAATAATCATATACATACATGATATTAGTTTTTATTGAATCTATACGTTTTTTTCTATTCGTACATGGTATTATTTTTGAGTTATATATTATTGAATACTACGTAGATATTTTTTATTTTTTTTAACATTTACTCTTATGTAAACAAATTCTTTTATGTCCTGTTTTCTTTCAGTAAAGACAAATAAGATATATGTGAATGCTTACAATCATAATGATGAACTATACCTTTATATATTTTCTTTCCTTTAGATGTTCAAATACTTATTTATATTGCATAAAGTTTAACTATATACGAAACAAAGTGCATCAATCTATGATATGATAAATAAACAGATTCGCAATTGAATGACAAGTCACTAGACAGCAAAAATAGTTTATAGGATGAGATGATTAATTAACTAAGAACGTCCGCTAGCCTTTAATTTTTTTTCTTGTTGAAAAGAAGAGATAGAAGAGTTGCCATCTTTAACAACATAATTAAATTGTACTAGATAGTAGTTTTACAGTCACGTAGTTTGTAAGTGGGGTACAGGTATAATTTTTTTATATCTTTCTTTATTAACGTTTAATCTGCGAGTATTTTTTAGAAATTTTACCGTATCATTTATTATATGTTAACGCGATTAGAATGTTTATATTGTTTCAGAATTCAAAAACCAACTATAAAATTTTAAATTAAAGGAATATAAAAATAAGTCTAATATGAAACAAGAAGACTCTAATGATTACTTAATAGAGAATATTATTTAATTAAGAATAAAAAAGTTTATCAGAAAATATTAAAATCTCAAGAATATATGCCTATACATATTGTTTATTAAAAAAAGGCTAAAAATGCGATAAGCTAGAATATAATTAATTTAATCACGATAGATTATATATTTAATATTCCTGGCTTCAGATTTGCAATGAGAGAAAGAGAGAGAGAGAGAAAGCGCATCCGTTTTTATAGAAGTATCAAAAATTTACAATTCATTTTGTATTATTGCTCTTAAAAATATATTCTTACTTCGTTTCGGACTGTAACGTCCAACTGCATCAATTCGCACTCGGGGACCCACACGTTGGGAAATAATGGAGGCCAGTGAATAATTAATTCGCCTGGCCCGTTTCCCTCCAAGTCTACACAAAAAAGACGTTACTAATAGACTCTTTAGAAACTGTTCTTACAGTGGGCCACCGTATGGGTGGTTCGATAGACTGGTACTTCACCCATGTATCCTATAAGTACAAAGGGACCTGTATCCCCATGACCGTCGTCGAGGTACGCTCGGACGACAGGTATTATGGGAATTAAGTCCCTTTGCACTACAGGACCATGGTGCATTAGATTGTTCTCGATCATTTTCGATATATAGTTTGATTCCATTTTTTAAAAATTTGAGCTTATTTGAAAGATCTAGAAAATTATAAACTACAGACCTGCTTTTTTAAAAAAAAGAGATATTTCAACTGATGTAAGGCATTAACGAGTTCAAAATAGACACGTAAAGTTTTTATTCATTCTGAGATACATGTATATATATACTTGAAGTTACTCTCATCTATAGTGCTCTTATCAAATTCAAATGAAAAATAAACATTTAAAAGAATGAACTGGACGGCTCCATGGAATGGGTGAATATTATCATCTGACAACTTCAACAATTATCACATTAATCATATATTCAAAGAAATGAAAAATTCGAATCGCACATGTTGATAGATGGCATTGTATTATCTATTGATTCTTTGTGTGTGTTTTTTTTTTGATGAATCTCAAATCGTAGATCATTCAAAAATATCTCTGACCAGTCATCAATAAAAAATTGATAATATGCAAAAGATATTTTATTATAAATCAATAAATCAATACAAAAAAAAACTTTTCATTATTCAAAAACAAATTCAGAACATAATTTGCTAAAACGGTTGATTAATAGTGGGGTATAATTATCTATTTCATTATAATCGATATTATTGATTCTTCTATTATAAATGAAAAAAATGTATAATGACAAATATTGAAAATGCTAGTATATATAATTCGTTAGTAGTGAAAATCATGCAAAAAAAACGTGTTTGTATAATAGAAATCATTGTGAACTTATTAATATTAAGTATTTCTTTTGTTCATATCAAAACTGTACGAATACGAATACGAGCTGTTTCTTGATTCAGCTCGATGTGCCACCACACTTGTTATTAGCGCCAATATCAGCTTGAATCTGATGATACTTGTTTTGACCATGATTATTACAATTATCTTTTTCTTTTGTAAGTTCGGTAAAACGTTGACCGTAATTTTGAACTTTAGATGGTTTCCCATCTATATCCATGATTTTTTTCTAAAATGACAATTGTAATTGAATATCGCGTAACAAAATTCTATTCTTACTTTTTGACTAGATGATGGAGATGTTGATTGAACATCAGCTTGTATATTTGTGTTGCATTCATCTAGTAAATATATAAACAGTAGATGAGAATATTTTCACTCATGATTGAAATTATCTACTATTCTTCGATATGATTGATGGTAAAGCATTTTCAATAGATGGTGCATCGTACCATATTTCTTATAGATTGAGAGCATTTCTATATTAATTATTTCAAGATTAAAATGTCTCACCATTTATTTCTTTTTCTTCATCAGGTGTATAAAATGTGTCACCATCTATTTCCTTTTCTTTATCAGGCGTATATGGATATCCAGCACGAAATTGCTCATCGTCATCCGCATCAATCGGCCATTCAAGAAATTTAATTGGTGATAAATCATCCTCCTTTTTAATGAAAGCACTATCAGAACTATTCATAATTTATAGAACTGAAATTTTTTATATATAAAACTGATTTTTGAATAGATATCTAGAAGCTAAGTATAAATGTATTACTTAAGCTGACAAACTTCTTTTTTTTAATAAGATTAAGATAAATATGTATAATGTTTTATTGTTCGTAACGTATATTTCGATCTAAAAGTATGAATAAAAAGTATGATTGTAATGAAAAATTATAAAAGCATAGTTATATCTACTTAAAGCTTGAATAATATATGATGTGCTTAAAAGAAATTATAAAAAAAATAGCATGCACACAAAAAAAAAATATATTTTGTTCATTGTCTGTTGATGATCTCATTAAATTTTAATAGCCATATTTACGTTCGAACTCTAATGCCATTTCGAGAAGTTCTTCATCACTGATATCGGGTAGAGGTACAACTAATTCAGCTGCACTAATGAATTTTGGTTGACTTCCTGCTGTAACAACAGGTGCTGCAGGCTTTTGTTCTGTTGAGTCACCACTAACTTTAATCTTTTTTGTCGGAACATTTAAATCTTCAGGTACAGGTCGTTTTTCTGTACGACTTGATGGACTGCATGATATCTAGAGAAATTTTTTGTAAACAATTTAGAAAAAGAAAATTATATAAAATCTCACCGAAGCGTCATCTGTCGTTTTAACATGTTTTGATGGACTATTTGATACCACATATTATCTACATAAAAAATATTCTTTTCAACAAGAATTAATTAGTTTTTGTGCTTTTCTTACTTGATGAGTTTGACATAGTAATATAAATGTAATGAATAACTGTTTTATGTTATTTTAAAAAATCAGAGTAATCTAAATATACGTGATATAGAGAAACTGAAAAGTTTATATCTCGATTATTTTATTTATTTAATATATGTTTAAATTGAGTACTATCATGCATGTACCTCTTATACTAATATAAAATACAATTTACAATTCTAAACTATATTGTAACGATTAAATACAGAATATATATCAAAAAAAATTGAAAAAAAACACACATGTCTATTAAAATTTCTGAGAAGAGATTTGCTTCATGAAATGCTCTTGAAGTTGATAAGTATCAATGTTAGGCAATGGCCATTTACGTGGATAATAGGTAGTTGTAACTGTTTGAATTTCACCATCTTCATCCATTATTTCTCTTGTTTCTTCTCTGCTTTCTTCAAGAATAGTACCATTCATAATATCAATATACAAGAGACTATCAAATTCATAAGGTTCAAGAAAAGTAAATCCTCTTTGGCAGTATCGAATAATTCGATTACAAATACTTTTCTCCATGTTTGCATGCATTGTATAACAAATGAATGATTTTGTTGCAACTGCTTGTAAAAAAGCAAATGTACACAACAGTTGAGAACCTATACAGAAACAGATCAAATTTTTCTTCTTGATTCTAATTTGTCTAACCCTTTAATGCGAATTGAGTAATATCAAGATCACTTGAATGAAGAACATAACTAACAGGATCTGTAACAATAGGAACATCTTTATAATTGAACTGTAATGTAATATTGAAAGGTAGTATAATAATGTAACTACCATTAGCCTTTTTTGTTAATTCTATATCAAAATAACCATTTTTCAACATAATTGATTTTAAATTAGAAAATGTAAAGGCAACATCACTATCGAATTCGTAAAATGAATTGAATTCATGGAATGAATGACCATTG